GAAATGTATCCGATGTGTGATTGTTTCGGTCGTTTCGAATTCGTTAGTAACTATATATATCTAAAATTACGTCGATACATTCAGAAATGTAACGTGTATTTATGTTTATTTTCTTCATGTTTTTTAATAATTTTTTTGATTAAGGTTATTCATTGTTGGTTATAGTTGTAGACACATTCTTTTTTTACACACAAGAAAAATTATTATTACTCGAATATGAACAAGAAATAAGAAATAGAGATTAAATCAATATTAGAGTTCAATTAGTTCGATATAAAAGGAATAACAATTTAAAAAACCTTTTAGTTTAGGTTACGTTATAATTAAATTGACGTACTGATATAAGATATTTAGTAGGTAGCAAATTATATACAAAATCTTTTCAAAATATTTTAGACATTGCGGGTTTACTTTAAAATTATTCATTAAATTATTTTAAATAATTTTTTTTATTATTAATTTTTAACTTTTTAATTATTTATAACATCAGTGGCGTACAAATGAGGAAGTTGGTTTCGAGATAAATACCTCGCCCTCTCAAGAACCGAAAAAAAAATCCAGTTTAGAATAAAAAATATGCACATTATGAATATTTTAATGTCTATATGAAATTTAGTACTTGTCAAATATGTTGGAATTACAAAAAAATTTATTTTTTGTCCGAAGAGGAATAAAAATGGATATTTCATACTGATATAATAACTTTAATTATTTAATTCCCCCCCAATAAATACACACACATAAGAAAATTGAATGTAACTGTACAACAATATTATTATTATTATAGGTAAATAATTGGTTTTTTTTTTTAATATTTTAGACTTATGATTTAATCTATGCACGAGTTTGAATACGTAAATGCATTAGTTTTATTTTTTTATTGTTATACGAGCATAGGCTGTTGACTCAATTCTTTAGCCAGAAAAGCATTTTCTTTTTTTTAAATATGACAGAAGGTGACTAAAGCTTTCAAGAAGTTAATGAATTGTAGTAAAACTCCCAAAACTAGTATTATGGATGGCTGATATCGGTTCAGATAATCATTTGCCCGGTCAATAGTCTTTCAACTCTTTTAGGTCGAATGCCTTAAAAAATATTCGTTTTCAAATCAAACTTGTATTCAGTTGAAACACATCGCTACGAATCTATATTGGTAGGATTTTTAGTGAAAGATAAATTTCATAATGTCATTCATTTCAATATTATTTAACTATTGCATAAATTATCTTTTTTTTCTCAAACGGGCATACAAATAGATTTATATATACAGTAGGCCTGCCTAATACCTGTACACCTATATATACTTTAAACTTGTTAGGACCCCCATTCGTATGCCAAATAGTGTGGTAATATTATTAGGTTTAGAATATTATTGTATTATTCAATGTTACCTGATGCAGATAAACGATAACTCAACGGTTGAACAGTTGACATTCGTAGTACTATCTGGCTATACACAACATCTACTACATTTTTCTTTTCACAAAATAATTTATTAAATACCTACGCATTGTCTAACAATAAAATAATAAACAAATCAGTGCGTTTACTACTGGCAGTCGCGAGAGGAACAATATTAATATATAATAATGTCGAATACAATAATATGTGATAATGTGAATATGATTTTGGAAGCTGCAGAAAAGATTTGTGAGAACGAAGATACCATAGAAACAAAATCGGACATAATGTCTATGCCCGTTTATATTGAAAATAAACCGATGACCATAGATGAAGTTATTGGTGAGGGATATATTAAGTTATTTTATACATACATATTTTACTCGAAATTAATGGTTTTTTTATGGTTATAGTTCATCAAACGAATCTCGTACATAGTTTATGTGTTGTTATTAAAAATAAATATAATCAATCTAAAACCAATCTATCCGTTAATAAACTGATTTATTACGAATTAAGTCTGTAAAAAAATGTAGCGACTTTCTTTTGCTATTTCATTAGAATAATGGAATTTTTCAGTTAATTTTTGGCTATCGTCTTTTTGTCACTTTAAATTTAAATAGTTTTGAATAGGTATCCAATTGTTAATAATTCAAGCAGTGATATATTTTATGAAAAAAAAAATTTTAATTTTAATTTTAATTTAAAACATTAAATATTTATTGTATTTATTTTAAATATAGAAGCTCGATCGACTATAGTATCAAAAGTCGAACAGGAGGACCAAAATTCACATTTTTTAGTTGTGCCAAAAGAAAAAACGCAGAAAATGTATTCACAAAAATTGCAAAAATATTAAACATCAGTAGTATGCACATGTACATAACAATTATTCTTGTTTTTTTTAAAAAAAAAAAAATTGGAATTTCTTCAATTTATATAAAATTGTTTATTTAAATAAATTATATTTTTATTCGTATTGAGTGATTTATTGTTTAAATAAATTTAATAAAAAAAATGTATGTCACCAAATAATTAGTTATTAGTCCCAAATTTGAAATGTAATATTTCCTTCTCCTTGTCCCTAAGTTGAAATAAAAACATTATGTAGATATTGTTAGTAATGAGTTGAATTATTTTATGTTTATTACATTTAATTAAACTAAACTATGCATTAATATATTTTAATTTTAAAAGCAAAGCAATTGTTAAACCAATAGAGGTTATTAATAAATATTGCTTGTATAAATAGGGCATTCATATTTTACAAACAGATTTGTTTATTAATCCAATACTTTACTCATTAATAATTATTATTGGTCAAATTGACTTTTCTTTAATCATAAATATAAATCAAAATATTTAAAATGAATGTACCTTGGCATTATTGTATTGTATTGTCATCTATATATTATTAAAATAGCTAATCGGTTAACGTTAATATCCCTACAGTATCAATTAAAAAATATTCTTTCCTCCTTAAATTTTAATGATTGGAACAGTCTATCTGATCAAAATTGTTTACGCATACATTAAAAAAAATCCATATCATAATATAATTAATGCATTTCTTGTCTAGCTCAAATTGTAATAAAATAACAAATATCATTAAGGGGATTCGATCCGGGTTAAGTTGTCTATCAAAATATACTTATATTCTGCCAATTGTACTGACCTGCCTAATGATGGGATAAGACTCGTAAAAACATATTTGAATTCATCATGAAGTTGACTCGAAAACGACTTTTTTTTATTTTTTTGAATTATTATTTTTATACCCTTAAAAAATTGATTTTAAAATCTTAATAATAAATTTATAATGTAAATAGTATTAAATTGATAAAATAATTTGAAAATGTAGAAAAGTCCATTTTAAGTAAACTTCATGACTAATTCAAATATGTTTTTAGAAGTTCTATCCGATGACCAAGGAAACTAGTATGATTGGCAAAAAATTGATTCTTTTCGAAAAAAAATAGAACCAAATCATATTCCTCGCAACAGTGTAGTTTGACTTGTGAATGCGCGTGTGGAAATAACCTTCTTCCGCTAATCGTTGCCGCTAATTATAGTGCCCGCATTGTTATCAATCTGTTTATTTTATATTATATTATACCTAAATGAAACTAGGCTAAATATTGTCATAATTCAAAAGCCTATAAATAAACTCTAAAAGATCAGACATAGGTAATTTTGTAAATGAAAATGAAAATTTTAGAAATCGGCAGTAGTAGTTCATTCGTGTTTGGTTTATGGTATAGCTAAAATTCAAAGAAGTTCCTATTTTATTATATTTTAATATTAATATATTATAATATAAAATAAGCAATTCTGTGATATCTATTATTGGAAAACTGGTTCTGCCATCGCGCCGGTGCATTGGTGATTAACAGCACAAGATTAATATGGCCTGGCGTGGTATATTGGAAGAGGGTTTAGAGCGGAGTAATTACACACACTAATGATCATTTATTTCACACACACTCTCTTGGCATTCACGCACGCATGTGACAAATCGCCTATATTCAACCCCTTAAAAACTACCCGGATCGAATCCTCTTAAACAGGAATTCCAAAAATAAAATTAATTTGCAATTATTATTTTCAAATATAAAAAAATCATAGGGTCTAATGATTATTTTAAAAAATATCAAGATCCAATATTAGAAGTCGTTTAACTAATTTTTCCGTGTATAATATAAACTTGTTTAAATATGAATCTTTCATTATTTTCAACAAATCGGTGTGCATATTATATATGATAATAATATATTAATCTACGAATAATGATATAATATAATAATAATATAATATAATATAATATATATTATAACTTAAAACAATACACTAAGAATTAAATAAACAAATTTCTTAGCCAGTAAAATAAAAAATGTACTTATCAATATTAAAAAAAGACAAATCGTTAAAATAAATATTTTAAAAATAATGTTTTATACAAATCCATACATTTTCGTTAGTATAAATAACATAAAAAAACTCACATGGCTCTTTAAAAAATAGATTACAAACTATAAGAAATGTAACTGCAGTAAATCATAATTGTTTGTCGATAATATCATCCATAGAATAAAGTTGAGTAAATTGTTCACATCAGTCCATCACTAAAAAAAAATGTATTTGTTTTTAACTTAATAATTCTTTCAATCCAATACAATTTATATTATAAATTTTATACTATTTATTTATTTATAAATACGGACAAAAGTCCAATTTACAATATATTAATATATAGAACATTATTAAATAATAATATATTTAAAATAGAGTAACTAACAGAACATTATTAAACTAATTAAAAATAAATGAAATACAATTTTACCTCAATCTTCTTCTTCATCATCGGCATCATCACTATCATTAACTTGACCATAATCAATTAGATTCATTGGATTTTGAATTTGTAATTGATATATTTCATTGTTTGCTATAAAGTCAATGTCTACCTCAAAATCATCTAAATGCAATAAATATTCAATATTAAATAAAAAAAATGATTAGGCAAAATTAAAATTAAAAATTACCAAAATAGTCAAGAGGATCTTCAATACCGTTAAAATTAATATTATGAACAATATTTTGATATCCATCAGTAGCTGTAGATTCAGATAAATTTGGGATATCATAATTTTTTGGTTTCAATACTTCACGATCAATCATTACACGGATCTAAAATATAAAATGTATGTTTATTAAAATCGCATATTTCATTATTTTTTATATATTTCAAGGAATCACATAATTTAAATTGTTGTACAGTGGATAATTAAAATAATACTCCTTCCTTACTTTTGAAAAAAAAAAAAAATTATCAATAAATTAAAAAAAATAAATATTGAATTAATTATATAAAAACAAGTACTTGAAATGTATAAATGAAAACAATTTAGTTTCATTATTGAAATAAATATCAAAAATGAAAACTTGAAAACCTGTAAGTGCATAAAACATTTTTATTCTGTTAAATAATATTAAAAATATATTTTACTCTGGAAGAAAACTCAAAATTCAGTGACATATGATGCACTGTGAATAGAATTGCTGCTTTCCGAAATCTTTTTTTTCATTTTTTCCCCGCATATTGTATAAAACATAACAGCTGTTTTAATTAAATCTTCATCAGTAGGATATCTGAAGAGTAATTTTAAGACATCTAAACCCAATGAAACATCAGCCTACATAAACCATACATCAATATAATATTTATTAGTTATTTGAATTAATTATAAGGATTGACCCAAAACTTACAACGCCACGATAAATCAAATGTGCAATGAATATTGCTGAAGAAGAATAAACATGTATAACATGTTGACGATATCCAGATTTCAATTGCCAAATACATCTTATTAAAAGCAATTCTGCTATGTTTGGAAACTGAAAAATTCAAATCACCCATATTAAAGAACATTTTATATAATACTAAAGTAGTTAAAACTGCTAACTTACATCAAGATTAATGAGAGAGACCATAAAAGCATACAAATCAGTATTTTTGGTTTGAAATAGTTGAGCTTCTAAAATGGAACTACAAAATAAGCCTTTAGCTCTCACAATATTGAATTTGTAAATTCTTTCCTTGATAAGAAGAACATTTTCTTCAGTTACTATTGATAAAAAAAATGCGAAACGTTTTTTTAATTTCTCCCAAGATTGTTGCTGGTATTTGGCACTAAAATGGTTAAAAAATTATTTTAATGTAGGTAGTAAAATAAAATAAATAAATCATTTTAAAACCACATTTTTTTAGTTTTAAACGAAACGCTAAGTTTTCATTTAATATTTAGGTACAAGAAAAAATTATATTAATAATTAACTGATGATTATATTGTAAAATAAAAATAAATTGTTATATTAATTTTGAACTACAAACTAAGGTGCCCAATATTGTTTTCATTTAAAATATTAGTATATAATTTATAGCAGTAAGTGTATATATGTTCAAATACAAAATTTGCAGATCTGACTTTATAATACTAAATACTTTTTTAAACTTAAAAATGATTAAATATCAACTTTAGTTGATAACTTAATAACGTAAGGTGTAAGAGTAGTAAATATTTGGTCACAGAATTGATATCAATTTATATCACAAAGGCAATAATATAAGATATTTTTGTTCTAACATAATTTATTATGATTGTTGTATTGTCATACAAGATTTCCAGTCAATATTTGTGCGTTGATTAATTTCATTAGAAATATGTACAGCTGTTAATTGCTACAATGACATAATGTAAGTAAGGGAAGTTTTGGAAGTTCTAACTTCCCCATTGCCAAAATACCAGCTAGTAAATAAATATGTAATAATAAAAATAGTAACATATTATCTGAATATATCAAACCGCTCTCCATAATTAATCTTCACCTATACCCTTGAATTGTATATACATTATTCAAGTTAAGAAACACACTTAGTAACTAAGTAGTAGTAACATTTCTGCTGTTAGACAACTGATGGATAGATTGGCACTGACAATTACTGTTAAAATTATTTTTTACTTGAATAATGATTAACACTAATTAAAATACATACAAAATATTATACAAATATATTTATATCTAGTCATATTCTATAAAAGTTAAAAATGACATAATTTATTCTGTTAGTCTACAGTGGAATATCAAATAGCAAAACTAATTGTATAAGAAATGTGAAACATAAGTAAAATATGAATATATAAGTTAATTTATATAATTAAACCGACATTAAAATATAAATTGAAGAGTAGGTTAATAATTATGTTACTAGACTACTAGAGTAACATTAGAAAGTAAACAACTCTTTTTTAGTAAATTAATAAACTTTTTGAAAACTGTGTAAACATTACTAAGAATTATTAGAGAACAAATATTAATGTATAAAGTACACATAAACGTAGATAGAATTTTCTAGGTTGAGCCTAAAAGGTTTCTACAAAAAAAAAAAAAAAAAATGGAGAGCTTTTACACACTAAAAACATCTTAAAAAAAGCTAAAAATGGCTATAGAAGGGGTAAATATTAGTAATCCTATTTACGTCCATGAACACATATCTATAACATCCAACTTGATAAATTTAATTTAAATTAAAATTAGTTTTAAGTACCTTGATTCAACGAGCTTGGTGTGCTTTAATATCTTAACTCTGGTTATTGGACCTGTAAAAAATAATAACATCAAAAGATTTATAAATAATAATTAATAAACCTATTAAAAGTGCACCACGTTTTTACATTGAAAGTGGCAATGAATTACAATTAAATGCTTATGTTGAATTTGAATTATTGGCCAAAAATAAATATCTTTATTGCACAAAGAATATTCTGAGGAAAGAAATTATTTATATAATAAATAATTGTAGAGCTTCATCATTCATTTTTAACAATTTAGTTCCATATATATTCAAGTACACTGATAGTCGTAGTTGTGATACTAGACACGAACAACAAAAATGAAGTATTTTTTTTTTTTTTTATCGGACGGGCTCTCAACCGGTCCGATGACCAATAATCGCAATAAAAAATTTAAAAAAGATCGTCTTTTTCGATCGAAGCGGACGTGAGAAAAATCTTTTCCTCAAGTGCTCTATCAGTCACGATGACGATGCGTACGTTTAATGAACGCACAACGCGTTAACCGTTAATTTGGGTGCTTACGTGGTGCGAGCTGTTTGAATCGGCGACGAGTGTCCGATTTCTCCAACGACAACTCCATGGCGAACTGGACGATGCGAATTATTTGAATGATGTGTGATTACCTAACGGCGGCAGGCAGCAAACAGCAGCGTGTCGGCAGGACGACTGGCGCGCGTGACACGGTAACTACGCAGCGGCAGTAACTACACTGGTAATGCACTACACCGTCGCGGCTCCTGGACGGTAACCTCAAAAACTCGGGCCGTCCGTGATAGCGTTGCGCAGATGATCGGACGCGACCGGCCGGAAGGTACGAACGTTTGGCGACCCGACCCAGCGGTGTTGCTGCGAACGATCGCTGGTGCGTGCGCGCGCACGTCGGCGTGGTGCTCCGGGGTAGGGTGCTAGAGAGACGGACTGAATCCGCCCTCCTCCCCCTCCCCCGTCATTACGTAGAGCGCGGCCGCGGCGGACGGGGAAACATGATTACCGGCCCGCGGCCCGGGCGTATTGCCGAACCCCGGCAGGCCGGATGCGTCCTTCGCTCCGCCGTTCGACGAGCTATTTAATCGGGTCGGCAAAGGCCCCGTCGACCGCGCGCAACAGATCGAGATGCGTTCCGTACGGCGTGCACTCGCTCCATTTAGCACAGGTCGGCCCGCCGGATCATCCGTGTCCCGGACGGGTGTCAAACGGGCGTCAACACGTCCTCGACGGGGTTTTTATCCAGTGCTCTTCGATCGCATCGTACGCGTACTTTTACGACCACGGCGTGGAATCCTTTAGGAAACGGTCTGTGATCCATGGAACCGCCAACGACTGCCGAATTTTTCCATTGTTTGTTGAAAAATCGGTAACTCAATAAATAAAAGATGTTTTTAAATCAAGTTCATGATTAATGTTCATTACAATCACTACTCCTCTCAGCATTCATGTACATCTCGCGAAACACACGGCACATCTTCAAAATATAAACACGTATTTTATAAAACCGTTTACGTTTTGCAAGTCATTATATTTTCGGACTGGTTTGACAACCCCGTCTCATCACGTAAATCGGCATTTAAGTAAAATAAGCCGCCCAGTTGGCAATTTAATAAGAGCATGCCGACTGCCCCACTCTAGAAGAAACTGAAATGACGCCATTGATACCCAACAATCCCTAGCACATATGTAGTTGTGTACTACGAGTGAGAATGACAGTTCACCTAGTTTGCAAATACGCACTGAATGCGACAGTCGATATTGCGATATTGATGAGCAGAACTTGTTCGCAAACCCAACATAATAAAATAGGTATTTGTCTACCTACGTGTGCCCGCAGGAAGTAGGGTTTCATTTTCGGTGCTGATTGAGAGTTGACATTTTTATTGCTCTTATTGTCTATTTCTATTTCTAAGACTTTTAGTCATGTATCGTACAGAATACAAAGAAAATATACTTATTATGCAGCACCTGAATATAACAGTCGGACGTATTAAAATAATCATCGTATTATGTAAATAATTGAGGAGTAAAAAAATAAATAAATGTTATAACCCACTTAAAACTTCAATGATTGACCTTTTGTTGTAAAAGAATTAAATCAAAATCCGGACAAATTTAAATCATTCTATAGAATGAATCATACAAATTTTCAACAGCTAGTGAACTCAGTAGGGCTATCAATAAAAATATTAAAAAAGGCACTGAAAAGAACCAATTGGAGTAGAAGAAAAATTATTTATAACATTAAGTTAATTTTATGATAGTCTTTTATTTGTAAAAACATTTATTATAAAACCATGGTCGTATGTACATACACACAATGGCATTCGAATTAATAAATAAAAGATTAAAAACTACTTACATTTGATTAAGTTTATAAAAATAAATGTTATTTGTGGAATTTTCCCAATATTAGTATGTTTAGTATCACGTGATATATGTAATGTTATAAATCGTATTGATTAGGAATATTATATGTAGACTGTAAAGTAGTTAAAATAACCTTTTTATTTTAGAACATAACGCGATTAATCTAAGAATATGAATTGTATTGATATTGTTAATTAACCTTAGTATAAAAGGGGAACCAATATGTTACTCGGGGCCTCACTTCTGACTTGTATTTTGTAAAGACTAAAGTAATCCGTAGTGGAGAACAGCCGTCTAAAACTTTTCTCGTGTAATAATTATTAGAGTAATATATATTTATTCAAATCGTCGTTGTTTTATTTAATTTAATTGATCTAATTAGCCTATTCGACGGGCTCACTAACCAATGGCGATAAAAAATAATACCACTAATTTGATTGAATACAAACATCGATAAGCATGTATAATTATTATATAACATACTATATTCGAGCATATAAATATAATATATAATATAGATAACTGAATACAATTTAAATAATTTATACAATATAAACCTTTTTTCCGTTGTAAACTGGCTGGAGTTGATTAAAAAATGAAGAAATAATTACACGAGAAACAAGACATATTTTATTTTGTGTAAATTGTTTGGAAAATAAAATTGAGATAACGTTTTGGAAACACCAGTAAGTGTTGCTTCATTTAAATACACGCGTTTTTAACTAATGAAACAAATTTCCTGTTTCGGGAAACAAATTTCCCCTGCGTGTCTAACCTACTTTATAGTATTAAATATTGTATGGTGAAACATTTTGATATAAAACTATAAATATTTAGCTATACATATATTAATGCTGAAATATGGAAAAAAATACTTTTCAATAAAAATTTGATCAGAATCAGCAATGGTATCGGGGAAAATTGTTAATAATTGCATGATAAGTATATTCGCGACATTTAAAAAGTGTAGTTTTAAATATTCTACCTATCTACGTGAAATATAGAAAACTAGAATCGAGGATTTAATTATGTCACAAAAACAATTATTTAGAAAGTTTTAAAAGTTTTGAATTTTTATCTTAGATTTTAATAATTATGCGAATATTTTGGCGGAGTAAAATCTAGCCTTGGAATGGCCGATCAGCTAGTAAGGATTACTCTGTGTTATATCAAGGCCGTTTCACGTGACCTTGTTATTTGTTGTATATTATTCTCAAATTTATATTATTTATAACATTATAATTAAATATGTAGTTAGTCAAGTTATATGAGAACAATTAAATTTATTCAATCCAATTTTAAATATATTATACGAAATTATGCAAGTACAAAATTATGAATTACATAGGACCTGGATACATTTTAACCCCTTGGTCAGAATTTATTTCCCACTCTAAAATTAGTAATTATCAATGGCATTGTTACGGAAGGAGAGATGTTAAGGAATTTTCACCCCCAGATTTCTTTTTCAATGGTATTTAATTATTATTTATTAATATTTACATATTATAGTAAAATGATATTTTCATTTTACTATGATTAAGTATATACTTATATTAAAAATTGAGTAACAAAATAATTTTCATTAAATACGGGTCTTAATAATAACACCATTTTAAATGTAATATTATTATACAGGACCTCATTAAAATATACTGAGAATATTATGAATTAACTCTTAAACACCCCCCCCCCCCCCCGAAAAAAATATCTACACCAGTATTATATATAAATAAGTGTGTATTTTTAATCAAGATTTGAGGCTATCTATTAATTTTTATTATTATAATAATATATGATTTATTTCACTTTTTCACATCCCATTCAAAATTAAATATATTAAGATTTAATTATATCTATAAATATAGGCACCGATTTTTAGATATTAGCGCAGGGGCAAACTCCCAAACGAAAAAAAAATCCTTTATTATGCTGCAATTTGTTGATCGGTAGGGGTAATTACCTGATTGCCCGTAATCCTCTTTTAATACTCCCATAGGATGCAAAATAAAATATTATACATGAATATTATTTTAATTTTCTAAATTGGTTTTAGTTTCTTTTTTTACATTTACTTACATGAATATATATTTATATATTTTTTTTAAATAATACATTATATAATAAGTATATGCTTTAATTTTAACGTGAATAAATTTTTTCTTATTGACACTTGTTTTTAAAAATATTTTGCCAAAAAAAATATGTATAAAAGATAATATTTTATCAAAAGCAAATCTTGATTCTTCTATAGATTTTTTATGACTAACCGAAATGTAAGCATATTCATTAGCATTTGTATTAATAAAATAATTTTTGACTATGTTGGTTTTGTGTAATTCCTAACGTTCATGCATATTAATTTTTTCCAATTATTAAAGCTTTCCAAGGTAAATAAAGAAACATTAGTATTGCTATTACTACTCATAGATTTACATAATTTGCAAAAAGCTTTATCAATAATTTGATTATATTCTAACCAATCAAATTTGTTTAACCAAGATGTTAAAAATGTTATTTTTTTGATTTGAAAAAGCTGCTGAAGATAAATAATTTTCAGAGTTAATTTGATTATCATAATTTAAATTAACGCCTGAAGTTTCACCTTTTTCAGAATAAATTTGGTTGTTAATTAAGTTTGAATCATGTTTGATTTTTTTTTTCGTATAAATTTTCACATAGACATAATTGTTATTTGTTGATGAATCACTTTTATTAGTATTTTTATGCCTAACAAAAGTTTAAAAAAATTTTAATTAACATATTAAATATTAAAATGTATTTTCAAATCTGATATCACCACAATTATTTTTATCAAAACTTTGGTATGTATGTTGAATTGTGAATAAACGGCGTAGGCGCTAAATTGTATTTGTTCCAATATTAACAATATAATACAGTATAATAAACTTACCTTAATATTATAATCTACGAATAATACTCGTCGTATGAACATTAATAACTAACAATAGTAAAAAAATCAAATAGGTATTATACTATGGGTCGCAAGTTAAAAAAAAATATTAGTGTACGCCCGTACAAATGTCGCGACAGCAGATAACTTAAAATAAATAGATAAAAATCTATCCACCACTTACCACGCAAACTAATTTATACTGCAATGAGCTGTATATTATATAGTGTTTATAATCAGTGATTATAAAAGGTAATGTAAAAATCATCGATGTTCTGATGAATATTTTTATGTCATAATCTGGTATTTTAATCAATTGTTGTTGTACACAACAGGGACAAAATAATATTTTTGCCTCCGTTTAATCAATGCACGGGGCAATCGCCCCCTTTGCCCCCATGGAGTCAGTACCTATATCCACAAAGCCGGGTTCACACTAGTGCAACACACAGAAACTTTTTCAATTGCAACATGTTGTTAAT